TATTACTCAAAGAGCAAATGTATCTGGAACATTTTGAGAGTTCTTATTTGAATATGTGCAAAATAGAAATCCTGTATTTGATTAATAGAGGGCCAGGAACAAGTTTCTTTCTCTGAGGCATTATAGTATGGGAATTAAGACTGTGGGCTTTGAGTCAGACCAAATCCACGAGCTGCTGGCTATGTGTCCTTGGGCTAATTACCTAACTTCTCTGTGCTTTAGTTTCCTCATCTGTCAAAATGTGGATAACAAACTATATCCACCCACAGGGTTACTGTGTGCATTACATGAAACAATCTACAAGTTTATCAAAAGAGGTTTATTAACTTGGTCTTTAGGGAGAAAGACAAGGAAAGACAGGCTTTCAGAATGCCTACAAGTTATGTAGTGAGGATACATATTATGAGTTTGTCTCTGGGGTTTATACTGAGCCTAAACACTTTTTCCACTCCTCTTTCTTTTTTTTTTTTTTAAAGATTTTATTTATTTATTTGACAGTGAGAGAGACAGCAAGAGAGGGAACACAAGCAGGGGGAGTGGGAGTGGGAGAAGCAGGCTTCCCGCTGAGCAGGTAGGCCAACGTAGGGCTCGATCCCAGGACCCTGGGACCATGACCTGAGCTGGAGGCAGACGCCCAACGCCTGAACCCCCCAGGCACCCCTCCACTCCTCCTTCTGGAGCAGATGGCTAGGATAGGTAAGTGGGAGGCTGCTAAGGGCCATGAACAGAGTGAAGTGAATTGGCCCATTTGGGAATCAAATCCACAACTGGCTTTAATTACTATTCAACTGAGTTCAGTGGGCAACATAACATGAAAAAGGAGAAAATGAATGGGACTAGAAATACTGACAAAGTAAACAGGAGGGCAAGAGGACACTATAGGATAACTCAAATCAACAAGCTGCTCTAAACGGCATCCTCTCTTTGTGAAATTTATTTTACAGGACAGTTGGCTGTAACAGAAACCATTCTTAATCATCAAAAAACCACATTCTGATTTTCCTTATCCTCCCGACTCTCCATGTATAATTCTAGACTTCGTCGCTTACATCTCTTGGTTTTAGGATATAGTCTTCCAAAGCTAGAAACTTAATTACAGATTCAACACTTCAAGGCCAATACCTAATTGCCTAATTAGGGAGCTGAGAAATGTTTAGCATAACCACCCTCCTTCCTACCCCTACCCTGAAGTTATTAATGTTCACTTCAGATTGTTTCCTAGTCAACCCTTGTGAAGATACTGATTTTTGGACTCTGAGTCTCTTACTCCTACATAAAGCTATCTAAATTCAATAGGGCCTTTGAGGAAGCAGCATTTCCAACTTGACATTAACTGGTGGGCCAAATAACGACCCATTACAGAGACAACAATGCCTACTGGATTTTAATTTTAATTATTTCAGTTCCTGTACCACTGTTATTTCACAGTTACACTTAATAAACTCTATTATGCTTATTAAATAATTCATGGAAAATTGTGAGTGCATGGTAGGTTATGGAAAAAAGGTGGAAGAGAAAAAGGGGAAGAATGGTTCTGAACGATTATTGAATGATGTGGTGTGACAATATTTGTTAACTTCATGTCAACACAGCAAGGCCAGATGATTTATTTATAGTTCACTGTTTCAGTAACATATACTATCTGGTAGTATATTGCTGGGGGAAGGGCTGATTTGTATAATTACTGTACTTTCACACTATGACTTAGAAAGTGAGTAGGCTGATAACAGGGAAACAAAAAGCAGCCCTTAACATCTTCATTTGAACTGATAGTTTTGGCACCAACCCACGAAGGGGGCTGAGCATGGGGGGACTATCTGTTTACAGAGGTGCAGATGCCAGCTCCTAATCAGAGAACACCACATTTTGTAAGTTCCTGGAAATTTGGAAACCAGGGTCTTTAACAGTAGCAGTGGCAGCATAATTTGGTGCTCAGATGCTAAGTGAAACCCCAGTGCTGGGTTTGTCCACCATAATGTCAAAGAAACCTCCATGGCTGGTATTTTGGCACTGATGTGACACTGGCAACAGGTATTACTGGCATCAAAAAGCAGCCCAGGGAAGAATCTCATTAAGTGAGAAAAAAGAATCTAGAGTCTACACATTACTCCTCAACCAAATGTTTGAACCTTGCATCCTACAAAATCAGAGCTACTAAGAGAGGAACATGGCCTGCTTTGAGCTTCATCTCTTATGTGCCTACTCACTGGCCATGGAACACAATAGTCTAACAAGTGATCAAGAATTGGCACTAACGGCCAGCCAGCTGCAGCTTCCTCCCCAAAGGTGAACACATGCTAAACAGTGTAGCAGAGCTGGGGGCAGTGGTCAGGAAATGGGAGGTGGGTTCTATGAGAGCAATCACTTTGGCTTGCTTAGGAGTCCAGGGAACAGATTTGCAAATTATAACCTCTTTGAACACTGGCTGAGACCACATATGAAATAACCTCTGTAATTTTAATGTGTACTTGGTAGGTAGGAATCATGAATCTCAAACACCTGCGGAACCTGAGTTGCTTTTGTTTTCGTTTTGTTTTTCTAGAGGTCTACTTGCTCCTTTTGAAAAGCGCTAGGAATGGGAGACTCAGGCAACATTGGAAAAAAAAAAAAGCTTCTCAGGTGATTTTTATTTAGTTCCCATACCTTTGAGGACCATGGTTCTATGGAACAGGAATGAACAGGAATGAGTTAGAACTGAAAAGTTAAACCTTTATGCCCATTTATCAAATAAGGATAGAATCCCTTCTCTCCCGATCTTGAGACTAATAGCTAACAGTAATTGTTCAACAAACGTTAGCTACTGTGTGCCAGGCACTGTCCTAAGAGCTATATTTGTGCGATAACCACACAATCCCATTTTATAAACGAGAAAACTGATTCACAGAGAGGTTAAGGAATTTGCCCAAGGTCACACAGCTAGGGCTTGGATTCAAAGCTAGGCAGTTTGGCTATAGAGATCATGCTTTTAACTATTATTCATAATATTGTAAAGAACATAATAAAAACATGCATGAGAAAAGCATTTTACTTTGAAAAGTTCAGGTGCTCTAAGCAGCTGCTGAATGAAGTTCCTGGAGGGAAGAGTCTGCATTGCATCTAGACAGCACTTGCTACATTAATAGCTGCTCACAAACAACTTCACTCAAAGGACTTGAAAATCTGATCTTTGCCTGTTTCTCTCAAATGCTGACTTCACCCACTGACGTGCCATAGATAAAGTGACTCCTCTGACAACAAAAAAATAAAGAGAAGAACTCTCCAGTCCAGGTGCCTCACACAGGGCTTGGCACCCAGGTGATGAATAAAATGCTGACTGAATTGAAAGCCTTCCAATCAAAGGCATTTTGAAATGTGCTATTCATAGTCCACAAAATGACTTGAATACAAATTATTTAGAATGTCAAAACAGGAAGGGGCATGTGGCAAGTTAAGGAAATTAAAGAGAAATGAAGTATAAATGGAATACTAAACCTTTGAAATTTAAAATAAAGAACCTGGTTATATATCCTTGAAATCCTCTTTCTTGGCTAGCCGGGAAATGGGAGGGATAAGCGTTGGGGATTGCTTTAATAATATAATACTTATTTGTGTACTATGTACTTGCTGTAAGCCTACAGATCTGAACAAGCTGCTTAATATGCTCAGGTGATTTTTGAAAAGGCTGACTTTACCCTACATCATTCCCTAATGACCCTCGTGTTTTTTAGCAGGCACTCAAACATAGCTCAGAAATAAAACAGGTTTTTCTACCACTTTAGACAACAAAATGGATCCCTTATAACAAGCTGCGCTTGTATTCCTAGCATCAAATCTAATGAAACATTAGACTCACCTCATGTCCAATGTAGTGTTTGGCCTCCCTATAACTTTCAACCAGTATCTAAAGAGCTAACGCATAAAGCAGGGTTTTCCATAATTCCCAAGAATTTAATGACTGGTTATTTCATGATGTGGCTTGATCCAAACCTGGGGCAGCCAAAGAATCTCCTATGAAGACCTGTTGAGAAGTAGTGAGACTTGATGAGCAAGAGCTCACTGGGCCTACATTCATCCCTTTAATTGCCATAAGGAGGACAACTCAGTTTCCCCAGCATGGCATTCTCACTCAGTCTCTCTTCTGATGCACATCTGTAAAATGTTGTGCATGCTACTTAGTTGTGGAACTGATTCTATGAGACTACCTGGCCTTTGCTTTAAGAGCAGTGTGAAAGAAAGTCCAGACCCTCTTGGGACTAGGAAAAGCAGAAAAACAGACCTGAGAGCAGCAGTTTATCTGCTATGATAGGCTCTCAAAAAGCACATGTTGCCCTGATATGTGACCTATACAAGATCATGACCATAGGCTGGGGGTTAAAGCAACACACACACACACACACACACACACACACACACACACACACACTTTAAAAAGTTACCTCCAGGCATCCATATTGCACAGTTGAGGATTTAAAAAGTGATTCCTATACAGGATGTTCCAAAAGTCTTAGTGAAGTTTTAAGCTATTAGGGCTGGGGTTGGGGTGGTGAGCTGAACTCGCTCTCTGCCAGTCCAACAGGGGTAGCTACAGATGGTCTTGATTTATCATCATTTAAATGTGCAGCCCAGATTAAAGGAAACATTTTAAAGGACTAATTAGTCAACCCTCACAAAAGTAAATTAAGGGCCTGTGTTGAAACAGCCAAAGGAAACTCTAATACAGCACTGTAGCAATAATGCTTGGGGTGTATTCAAATGGAAAAGCTTGGGCTGGAAATACTTGTTTAGAAAAAGAAGTGCATCACTCCACCCTACTTCATCAAGTAATCCAAGCCATCTTACACACTCAAGGTCTGACCAAGCAAGACACATTTTATTAAAACCTCTTTCAGCTTGAACTAGATCGTATCCTTGGGAATAAACAAATTTTATTCAATGAACAAGTAGAAGGGATTCTTGATTACTACTAGAGCTCTTTTGTGTAGACTGCTTCTAGGTTAATGCAAAAAGCTCAGAAAAGGATATCAGATAAGGTAAAAGGCTTTATTATTCAGGATCAGCTCAAAGTCTGACACTGACAGAGGCAGGAATAATTATTATCTCATTACATTTGACCTTTGGTACCCATTTGAAGTACTAGTTTTCCAAGTGGGATGTGTTACAGCCAGGAGACTCTCAGCACAGTTTCTGTCAGCCACATTTACCCCAATTTTACTCGGTAGAGCTGTTAGGAGATGTTCAAGGATACAAAGAATATAATCATCTACTTTAGTTATCCTACCCCCCACCCCCACTGGCTTTCAAAGCAAGAGATAGGTAGCATTATTAGCAGATATGGTCATAAATAACACCTTTCCATAACCTAACATTAAAAAATCAAACACTAATTATAAGTAGAGTTTCTAAATATTCAGTTAATGCTATGGAGTGCTTTGTTTCAAAAACAGCAATTCTGAGGCTTCTCTTTATTTTTCTCCTTGCATAAAACCACGGAGAATCCATGTTTAATTCACATATGTAGTTCTTGTTGGTACAAGCTTAACTTACAGGAATCAAAGGAATTAAAATTTGTCATTAAGAACAGATTTTTAAATTTTGACAAAAATATGAATAAAATCTACATATTTGTTAGGGATATGGATAAAATGAATCAAGTGTCATGATTGTTAGGGGATCCCCTTCCAAGGACACAGTACATAGAAGGTACATGGAGCTTGTGTCTCTGAGGTTATAAAGGGGAAAAACAGAAAACAACAGTTCAAGATGATTGATATGTGATTGCTGATTAAAGGGAAGATGTTCAAAATATTTTGCACATTATTAACTTAGAATCAATCTAAACACCTTCTATATTATTTAGAGAAATTTCCATGACTTTTCAGCTCAGGGCTATACTAGAGGGTTACTGTTTTTTATGTATATGAAGAGAATCCAAAAATTCCAGTTAAAGCCAAAAATTGTTTTTTAGGTTCTGGATTTTCAGTTCAGAGCTATGTTCTTTTAATAAAAGTACCAGTAAGAAATCATTACTTTTTCTTAAATTGATGACATATTTTTAAAAAGTTGCAGCCCCTAGAGAACTGAATTCAAGTTGAATTCAAACCCCAACTTTAATGTATGACTATTGATTTTATAAATATCTTTGTCTAGTAAATGGCAAAAATTGTAACCTCTTATAGAACACGATGTTGGATTGGTACCATAGTAAATTGCTTAATAAAAATAGAAGGACCTTAAGTCTCATATGGGAGACATATTTGGGGGAAAAAAGATAAGTAAAGGTTTCTAGTGTTGTTCTCCTAGTTTCTCCAAAGAGCTGACATTTATCACTGCTCTTAAAAAAAAGATGATTTTAACTTAAGAGACTGTATTTTAACACTGAACACTGAATCAAGATAAATGCACTTATCTGAACATCACATTTTTACATATACTAAAAAAACAAAAAAAGCTCCCAAAAGTGTAGTGAAAAGATTATATAAATTTTAAATGAAATTATATTTGTTTGAGGCAGCACAGATCCAGAGGTCTCCAGCAGAAGACTTCTTCAGCAACCAGCCTTCACAGACAGGCCTCCTGCTGTGACCAGCAGATATTTTCCACTGTGCACCCACAGTCTCAGACTAATAAGAGACAAGTCTTGCTTTTTGCCTCTATGAGCTGGGATGTCATTATTGTAGAGAAGAGGCATAATTTAAAAAGTGAAGACTACTCATTCAAAAAGTTACAGAGTGATAAACTTACTTTATGGAATTAAACACAGCATTCATCCCAAGGAAGCTGCATATAAGCTATGGTAGAACCAGAGTTGAAAGGATTTTCTCTGAAAATGAAAAAAATGGTAGCTTTCTTAAAGATTAGAGTTATAGAATCACTCTGTTGTATTTTTTGTCTTGTTTTAATGGGCCAAAGTTCAGTTAACTCACTCAGATTAGAATCTACAATTCTGTTGATTGTTCAGGACTGCAGTAGTCGTCTTGGGATTTTCTATGGAAGTATGTACAGATTTTCCTCATGGAGCTGGGAGTAATAGTAACCTAGAAAAAGAAAGTTTAGATTTCAGAGATTTTCTAAGATAAAGTTCAGCTGTTAACTTCAGCAAGTTAGCACTAAAGGGTATTTTAAATTGCAATGCCTAGAAATTTGATTATTTAGTCAGTCAGCTTTCAGTCCCAAATATTTTGATGGCAATGTGTCTTCTGGCTGATTTGTACTGAATTTAATAAAAATTGAATAGACAGTATTCAAGGATGGAAGGGATAGATTTTTCATGTGAACAGAAAATATTTACCAGTTAAACCTCCTAGAGGAACGAAAGGTTAAAATAATCCTTCTTCTTGAAACAAATTAGTAAATCACTCTCCCAAATTTACAAATGAGATAGCGATTCAAATGGCAGCCGCTACCCTCTTCTGAAGGAATCTACATCATCATGCACATAAAGCAGAAAATTCTTTTAAAGAAACTTTAGCTTCAAAGACTGAAATTATAAAACCAGAAATATATGGGACCAGCACACTATTTTTAAAAAGCCTTTAAAATTCACACATTAGTGAAAACAGTTTTTCATTGAAATTATTTTTCTGCTAACACACAGCTGAGACCAGTTTCTCTGGGGGGAAAAAATTTTTGTTAGGGGCAAAAAACAGATACAGTGATAATTTTGAGAAGAAAGGAAAGATTCCTATATTATAGCTGATTTTTTTTTTTTCGTTTTCTGTAGCAAGGTCTTGGTTGGAGCTTGTGTTTGAAATAATCTTTAAAATATTTCTAGTTTATTTTCCCTCTAATTATGGGATAGGCTTCATGACAGTAGGAGGGGGATATGAACACTTATTAAACTAGAACTGGCCTAAGGTTATCCAGTTTCTGCCTTTTAGATTCTTGGAGTGGATTTTAATCATTCTACCACCTTCTCCTTAACACAGAGCAAGAGCTACTATGAAGCACAGCAGAACCTTCCTTAACCCATCCCACCTTAACTTGCAAACTGATTACCTGAAGCTTTTTAGTTCTGACTGGTGCCCATACTCACCCAACGCTCATAGCTACTTCCTCCGCCATTAATAATGAGTCACTTGCTTTCCCAAGTTCACAAACCTATTTTCTGCCAGCAGTACGTGTTTTTGAAATTATTTAACTTAAATTTATGCTAGTCAATGAAATGAGTCCTAAAAAGGTAAGTGAAACTAAGCTGAATGTTTTAAAAGTATAGATAATAGGTGAATTGCCAAAAATATTGGTGTGAGCAAGATGACTGTAAAAAAGATTGGAGAAAATCATAAAAATCCGGAAGGATTCTTCATTTAAATTGCTTTGTAAGTATCTAAGTTTCACTGTATTTTAAATAATCAAACTGTAATTACAAACTGGAAATCTATTTATGGATGTTGGCAACTTGCCCACGAATGTCAGCTTTATCCATAAAAAGGGGAGGGAATCTATAAAAAGTGGTGGCCAGGGGCTTGGCAGGGGGGTGGAGAAAATAAAAAGAAAATGTGGGGGTGGGGTGGGGAGGGAATTATATCAAACAAAGAAGAGGGAAGGTATCTTTGAATTGATATACTAGAGGATGATGAAGGCTTTGAGGAATCAAGCAAGAGGGCTGAGGGCTATGGACCTAGACAAGAGGTTTTTTTTTTTTTTTTTAATTAATTAATTTATTTGAAAGAGAGGGAGAGAGAGTGAAAGCGCCCACCCTCTGAGAGAGTGGGGAGGGAGGGTAGGGGCAGAGGGAGAGAAGTAGACTCCCTGCTCAGCTGGGAGCCAGGAGGGCTGGATCTCACAACCCTGGGATCAAGACCTGAGCCGCAATCAAGAGTCAGAAGCTTAATGGACTGAGCCACTGAGGCACCCCTGGACCTTGACAGAAGGCATTTAATGGGAATAAATAGGGTTGCTAGATAATAAAATACAGCAACACCCAGTTACATTTGAATTTCAAACAAATAAGGGATTTTTAGTATAAATAAGTCCCATGCAATATTTGTCCTGAATTTTTATGTGCTAAATTTGGCAACCCTAGGTATAAATAGATTTACTTAAAAAAAAAGAAAAGAAAGCATCCTGACTCCTGAGAAGGGATTTGTGTCTGACCTCTTCAAGTTAGGGAATGTATCCTCTCACTGGCCCCATATGAGTTAGAAAATGCATCTTCCCACCACTGCCAACTTACCGGGCCTGGAGAAGTCTTTCCGCTCTGTCTCCTGGAACTGGGGGTCTGGGAGGATGGACTTCGCGGAGATGAATTCTCAGCCTTCCGTTTGGCTGCCATGGCCAATAACCAGTTTTTATTCTCTGGGGAGCTATTCTCTTTGCCTACCACCTCAGACCCTTCTCCACAAGATCCCAAAGGAAGAGGTAGTGTTCCACAGCTTTCTGAAGCATAAGGACTGGCAGGAGAAGGAGGCTCTGAGATACTCATACTAGCTCCTTCAATCTTGCTTGGTTTGGTAGGACCTAGAGAGTCCTTACCAAGGTCTTCCTGGTTACCAGCAAGGCAGCACAGATCCAAATGAAGCTTTTCAACTGGGTCATCAAGCTCAGTCACACAGTTGCAACTCTTCACACACTTCTGTTTCACACTCTCCAGACAACTTGAGTCTAGCCTCCTCTTTACTCGGTTTCTAGACTCTGAGCAAGCCACTGCTTGGGATGATTTCAGACTCACAGGAATGAGGGCTTTTCTTGGAGATGTGATCTTGGTCTCAGAAGCAGGTGGAGTGATAGGTGGTGACGAGGATGGTGTTCGGGTCATCCAGTTTCTAATGGACATCTTGAAAGATGAGGGTGGCTTGGGAGAGCCAGAGGAGACAGAGCCTCTTCTGCTGATGGGAGACCGGGCTTTGGCAGGAGGGGTTTTAATAGAGAATGTGGGAGTATTTGAAGGAAGAGGGAGGTCTCCTGCACAGCTTGGAGCACAAGCTGCTGATGATGGGGAGGAAATGGATGGACTGCTCTTTACTCTGGGTGCTTTGGCAGGAGTACTCTGGCTACTTGTCACTGTCACTGAAAAAAAAAAAAAGAGGGTCACAAAAATCAGAAGTGAAAGTCATAGAAAATTCCTGAATTCTCATCAAGGAAAATTATAGCTAACTTAATCATATAGAAATGGGCTTCCCAGTGAGTAGGTTACATAGATCATTGGATTCTTACTTAACACACCCTTGCAACATCTTCCTTCCCCTTTCCTAACTGCCAGCCTCCCAACCACTGTTGTAAAACATATACTTTTAAATCTAGAAAATACAGAAAAATTAAAAAAAATTCAAAGTATTCAGGTAAACCACTTTTAGCATTTTTTCTATACTTGTGCATGTAATACATACATTATACACTTCAAATTTTTTCTATATAAAAACAAGACCATAATGTATATACTATTTAGTAACCTGCTTCTTAGCATATCATGACTATTTCTCACATTAATACAGATTTATATTATCATTTTTAATAGCTACCAAGTATTCTAAGGTAACAGTTAGACATCAGGTTGTTAATGATATTTTGTTTTCATAAGTAAAGTTGCCATTAGGATTCCCATATATACTTTTCAGCAATGCTAGGGCAGAGAGGCACTGCACAATGGCTCCCAAACAGAAGTATACTGGTCTAAAATTTGGCACATTCATTTACTATTGACTTGAACACAACCCTTTACCTCCTCTACTTCAGTTTCCATATCTGTTAAATGGAGAGCTTTTAATCTCCACAAGAAATAACCCCATCAATTACTTGTTAAGGTTATTAGGCCTCACTTGGTTTTCCACCTTAATTTACAAATGGCTACTTTCTATAAGCCAAAGAATGCCAAAGAACATTTTAGAAACTAAATGCTTGCTTGCTTTTAGTAAAACAAATCAAACAGTGGACAGAACTCTTCTCTATGTGTCCTGTCTCTTGTTTACAAGCAATGGCAAGTATTTTAGGCAAATTCTTATAAACTTTATGCTTCTTCCCCCTTGGGCCCCACCACAGACAACTCCGTATTTTCTTACGTTCCTTCTGAGCTTTGGAGATTTCTGAAACAGTGTTCCTATCTCCAAGAACAAGGAAAGGCCATCAGTTTATTTTCTAAGTCACCAACTCTTTGAATTATCACTCTGATATTTAATTCAGTTTAATTACTGAATTGCATTTATATGCAATTGAATTTAAGATGAGCTCACATAAAAATACAATCTCTCTTTTAACTAGAATACAGATTTACAAGGATTAATTTCAGGCATTTAGTTACCCTTTATGTTCTACCCTGTGCTTTTTACTAATCAAGCAGTTTTGCCTTGCAACAGAGAAATTCTACACACTGACTTTTGCCTAAACTTTTCCCATCAACCATATGTTTAGAAATGGCCAAGGTGATACTGCTCCTTCTACGCATCATTACTGGAAAACCCCATTTTTGTCGTAACACGCTATATAAGGGAAATTAGTGACAGGGACCTGTCCCTGAAGCATCTGGTCATAGTTCTCATACTCATGTTCTAGAGCTTGATTAGTTATTATTTCAGGAGGACAGAAACTTTTCATTTGTTTCACTCCTCAGTGCAGGTCAACAGTCACTACATAGCCCCTGTAGTCTTTAGTTCCATTAAAGTGGGCTGAAGGGTATGGTTAAGGCAGAACAGAAAGCCCTAAAATAGTATGGGTCTTACAACATGCAGATTCTAAGACAGGATTAGGGGAGAAGGAAAAGCTGGGCCAGGGGCAGCTGGGCTTGGGCCACACAGATATCTAAGTTTCTGAAGTGTTTACTAAAGGTCAGCAGGGGATCTGATGTGGTGGAAAGCTAGGGCATTTCTCTTCCTTTAGGATGTTAAAATGAAAGAAGGAGTGGACCATGTTCAAAGAGAAGATTTTATTAACTTGGAAGGCTAACAAAACTCTAGGCCAAATTTAAATCTTTTTTTTAAAAATAGTAATTAGATTCTTAAGATAATAAAAGTTCATGGTAAAAAAAAAGAACCAAACAGTTAAAGAGGGGAATAAGGTGAAAAGTAAAAAGTCCTCTTTTTAATCTTCTCGTTTTACTCATGTTCTTGTGCAACCCACAATTTTCTATATGTCTGTTAGTACACACAAGGCATATCATACTTTAAAAACCCAACAATGGATTATTACACACATACACCACATACTCCCTCACGTACATACTGCAATTTGCTCTTTTCCCTTAAAAATGTTATCTTTTTCTCTATATCTCTACAAATATGTTAGATGTACTGCATTCTTTTTAACAGCTATACAGTATATCCTATTGATCCATCGATTTAATAGGACATGCCCATTTAGCACATCATCTACTGAATTTCCACTGACCCTAAGCACTGCATGAGATCTGATGACAGGGTAGCATAGACTGCTTTACTATCCTAAAAGCTTCCTGAAAGTCAGTTCCTTTAGGAATTATAAGAGAGCTTACTAATAATTGGTCACTTTGCAGCTCCTTTCTGTGTAAGGGTTTGCCATCTGGCCTCACCCCACCTTTTCGGTCATATCATGTACTCTGCTACTTTAGGATACTGTTACAGGAGACTACTCATTGCTTCCTGAACAAGCTGCACACTGTCACATCTCTGTCTTTGTTCATGTGGCTTTCTTGCCAAGTCTGTCCCTTCTTGGCCAGGCAAAAATTCTCATGTTTCAGGCTCTGATGACATCATTAACTTCATTGCTACACAATTCACAAACTTCTTTTCACTGTGAAGAATTCACAAACTTCTTTCCTCCTCTCCCAGAGTAAGTAGGTTCTTTTGTTTATATAACTAGGAACATTGTCAGTAATGTACCACAGCTTTTGTAGCTGCCTCCTGGACTAGACTGTGAGCACCTAGGGGGCAGGTGATGATGATTTACTCATTTTTAGGTCTAGTGCCCCTACAGCAACCCAGCAAGGAATTATTAAACCATTTTTGTTGAATGTCATTCCTGCTGAGAGAGGACAGTGAGGTTCCAGGCATCAAAAAACAGACTCTAAGTATTCTGCTGATTGGTGAGACTATAGCAAGCACATGAGATAGAACAGGTAAGGTTTCTTTCCTTTAAGATAAGGACAATCATTGTCCTTTGTCATTCAGTAATGCCTAAACCAGATGTTCTCAAGCCTGGCTACATAACAGAATTACTTGGAGCTTTATAAACATACAGGTACTTGGTCCCCACCCCAGACCTACTGAACAATCTCTGGGGATACACAAACTTTTAAAAAGCTCCACCACTGGTTATGATGCACAGCTGGGGTGAAGAACCATTCACCTCGACAGTGCTGAGATTGCTGGCGGAAAGAGTGAAACACCAGGAAGTGACAGAGCAGGTGCTGGCTGGGAGAAGTAGGGCAGAGGGAAAAGGGGCCGTGCCTTGGATTTAAAGCCTTCTGGCTGGGGTGTTAAAAGGGCCAGAAGAGAAGATACGAAGCCCAGGATAGCAGTGAAGCTTGGGGTGATAATTAGAAGTTGGGAAAGCAGAGGACCGTAATTTTCAAAATGGAAGTGTGATTAGCAGCAGCCAATCTGTTGCTGGAAGCTGGGCTACAGGGCTGAATAGCCAATGTGCCAGCCCTTGGCATTCACTGGGGTTGCTGCTCTGTAGTGCTCTTCAGAGGAACTCTAGCAGCATCCAGAAATGGAGAAATCTAGGTATAACTCTTGGTCAGGTTTTTTCTCTTTTTTTAAAAAAATATTTTATTTACTTATTAGAGAGAGAGAAAGCACAAGCAGGGGGAGTGGTACAGGGAGAGGGAGAAGCAGGCTCTCTGCTGAGGAGGGAGCCCGATGCGGAACTGGAGCCCAGCACCCTGGGATCATGACCTGAGCCGAAGGCAGACAACCAACTGAGCCACCCAGGTGCCCCTCTTGGTCAGGTCTTAACTCAAATTTTGCTTTCCTGTGTTGAGTTCTAAAGGAGGCAGTACTGCAGAGTGCTTGCAAGCATGTGCTCCAAACCCAGGCTGCAAGTGTTTAAACTCTGGTTCTACTACAACTTCAAGGCTGTGTGATCTGAGGCAAGTCTAACTTCCTTGAGCTTCAGTTTTGGTTGTTTGGGGAACTAAATAAGATAATCCATGTGGGTCCCTAGAATGATTGTGCTAATACTCAATAATGGCTAAATGTTGTTGTTATTATTTTGGTCCAAACTTAGACAACATATGTAACTTTTTTTGTGACTTGGCTTCCAAAACTAAGAATAATTAATGACACACTAAAAATACTTAGTTAAGCAACTCACTTTTCATTAATACTCTTAAAATGGTTACTGCAATTAACACAGAAATGCCACCTCTGGGAATCTATTTTAATGGGATGGAGGAACCCTTAATTCAGAAAAAAATTTTCACAAAATATTGGAAACAAAATGTCCAACTATGATAGAATAGCTAGATAAACTATGGAACATTTACTCAGTGGACTATTTTAAATATTTTGCTAAAAAGATAACAAAAAGTGCTTAGGACATCATGTTCGGTGAAAACATCCCCAAGAAATCCAAATGTATTTACAGTGTAAACATGATTCTGTTGATAAGACTCTCTTTGTGGAAAAGGAGGAAAATCTCAAAAAAGTTAAAATGTTAATTAAAATCGTGAGTGGTGGAAACACTGAGGGCTTTTTCCTCATATGATTCTTCGCTTTTTCGTTTTCCAAAATTAGGGAGAGATAAGTAAATATAAAGACAAGGCAGCAAATAGACATCCATGTTCATGGATCACAAGACTTAACACATCATTAAGATGGCAATATTCCCCAAACTGAGCTATAGATTTGATGCAATCCATATCAAAATCCTAGAGGCCTATTTTGCAGAAATTGACAAGCTGGTTCTAAAATTTGTATAGAAATATAAGAGGACAAGAATAGTCATAATAACTTTGAAAAAGAAGAAAATTCTGACTTCCAAACCTGCTACAAAGCTACAATAATCAAGACAATGTGGTATCCGCATAAGGATAGACATATACACCAATGGAACAGAAATGAGAATCTAAAAATAAACCCTTACGTTTATGGTCAATTAAGTTTTGGCAAGGGTGTGAAAACAATTTAATGGAGTAAAGAATAGTCTCTTTTAAAAATGATACCGAGAGGGACGCCTGGGTGGCTCAGTCATTAAGCATCTGACTTTGGCTCAGGTCACAATCCCCGGGTCCTGGGATCGAGTCCCACATCGGGCTCCCTGCTCAGCAGGAAGCCTGCTTCTCCCTCTCCCACTCCCCCTGCTTGTG